ATACTTTTGCGGGGTAGGGTACTACACTAGTTCCGCTTCCAGTATATCCATTGTACAGCGTCGGTGCAATATTTGTGCGGCTGTGGATGAATCTACAAATTCGTGTAAGCGAAGCTATCTTTGTGAACGCGCGTATGGCACACTGTGTGCTGGTGGCATAACTGACAAGTCCTGTTGTATCTGTCTTACTGAACGCATTGTGCGTTGTGCTATGTTACAACGGTCTTGCCTGATGAGTGCATTGTGCACTGAGTGTCGGCGATGATTCATGGTGTAACTGTCCTAATTGACAAGCACGTTATGCACTGTGTGGTAAAACTATGTTTCTGGATGAGTGTACTTCCTATAGTGTGTTGGTGGACATGTCCTGTTGTATCTGTCTCACTGGATGAACGCATCGTGCGTTGTGCTATGCCCGAGCTGTCTTACTTGATGAGTACATTGTGCGCTGAGTGTCAGTGTTGATTCCTGGTGTAACTGTCTGAATCGACGAACACATTATGCGCTGTGCAATTCCATATGAGTCACAATAGAACTGGCTCACCGAAGGAGTGCATCGGGAGCTGTGCGACGTCCGACGAATCCATGTATGTCTGACTGGAAGAGTGCATTGTGCGCTGCGAGGTTGACGGTGGATTCCCAGTATAAATGTCTTACTGGAAGAGTGCATTGTGCACTGCGAGATGATGGAGGATTCCCAGTATAACTGTCTTACTGGAAGAGTGCATTGTGTGCTGCGAGATGACTGCGGATTCCCAGTATAACTGTCTTACTGGAAGAGTGCATTGTGCACTGCGAGATGACGGAGGATTCCCAGTATAAATGTCTTACTGGAAGAGTGCATTGTGCACTGCGAGATGATGGAGGATTCCCAGTATAACTGTCTTACTGGAAGAGTGCATTGTGTGCTGCGAGATGACGGAGGATTCCCAGTATAACTGTCTTACTGGAAGAGTGCATTGTGCACTGCGAGATGACGGAGGATTCCCAGTATAAATGTCTTACTGGAAGAGTGCATTGTGCACTGCGAGATGATGGAGGATTCCCAGTATAACTGTCTTACTGGAAGAGTGCATTGTGCGCTGCGAGATGACGGAGGATTCCCAGTATAACTGTCTTACTGGAAGAGTGCATTGTGCACTGCGAGATGACGGAGGATGCCCAGTATAACTGTCTTACTGGAAGAGTGCACTGCGCACTGTCCAATGCCAGACGACCCCTGTAGATCTGTCGCCCGGGATGATTGCGTTCTACACTGTGTGACGCCAGATGAGTGCCCAAATAACTGTCTCATTGGATGAGCGCCTCATGCACCAATCAACGTAAGGCACGTCCAGCCCGGCAGTGTCCGCCACCTCCCAATATTAATGTCTTACTAGTTGACGTATTGTGCAATGTACAATGTCAGTTCAGTCTCTGTACGATTGTTTCAACGAATGAGTGCATTATGCCACGTTCCATGTTGGGTTGAGTCCCAGTAGAATGGTCTTACCAGCGTACGTATTGTTTACCGAGAGTTATATGTTGAGTTCCAGTATCAGTATGTCTCATTAGAGGAGTGCTTTGCATACAGTGTGGGGTCAGCTGTGTCCTAGTCAAAATGTCGTACTGCAGGAGTTCATTCCAGTATGTCTTATTCGCTCATCCGATTGTGTACTATACGATGTCAGATGAGTCCCAGTCTAACAGTCTTTATGGTTGCATTGGGTAGTGTGTAATGTCCTCCACCTCCCAATATCAATGTCTTACTACATGTAGTTGACGTATTGTGCAATATGCGATGTCAGTTGAGTCTGCATGAGCGTCTCGATGAATGAATGCGTTCGCCACGTACCAGGTTGGACGGGTCCCAGTAGAATGATCTTACCGGCTATACGTTTCGGTCACCAAGAGTAAAATATTGAGTTCCAGTATCATTATCTGTCCTATTAGAGGACTGTCTTGCATACTGTGTGGTGTCAGCTGTATCCCAGTAAAAATGTCTTACTGAAGGAGTTCACTCTATACTGTGCGAAGTCAAATTTGGCCCACTGTACTAGTCAGATTGGACAGGTGTTGCGTGCACTTTGCAAAGTCAGATCAGACCTAACTTACTGGCTTCTTGCATGGGCTCTGTGTGTTCTGTGTGAGGCCTGGCAGCACTGTGTGAATATTCCTGGATTAATTCCAACAATTTTATGCTGTGAACTTAATCATGCCGGCCCTATTGGTTTTCACTTGTCCCGAGTCTGTTTGTGGCACAACCCTGTACATTATTCTTGCATCCAGATGACTTACTCCGCTGTTCTGTGTACTTTTCCTGCTTGTTCTTTCTCCTTTCTCTTCTCTACTCCCTGCTTTAGAGTACTTCAGGGGTTGGCTATGGGAGGATTGATTCTGTTCAGCCCAAACTGAACCGATATATCTGCTATCTGTGATCTTTATAGTCGCCACTTGCTGTTCAGTCAGGTTTGATAATCAGATGCCTTGTTCATGTGCACTGCGTGGACATAATACTATCACCTACCTGTTATTACAGTGCGGCCAGCACTGCTCAGCTCTTCACCGAAGCAGCCACTATCATTCGATATGGTCAAGTCTTGGCTGGCCAGTTCCTGACACCTGAACTACTAACGACACCCTACATGCTCTCACACTCAGTTTGGTGGGTTGTTCCTCATCACTTAACTGGGACGTACTGCACCAGATCAGGGTGCTAGCTCCTTGGACTATGAGCAACTTTGTGTACGTCATATCCTACTTGTTTTTGTCATGTATTCTCTCTGTCAGTCTCCCTGTTATGTTTGCATCTCTCTGCCTTCTTCCTCGTTGTCGCCGCGCTTTGCTTTTTCTGAGTCACATCCGGCTGCGGCCAACTACCCTTCACTTTGTGTGTTGTCGCTATTGCTGTCTATGTCTCTGTGTATGCCAGTATGTGTGGAGCGAGAGTCTGGAAGTTAATGGAAGAGGGAACAGTTAGAGCATTTTCGTCTTTTGTCTTTAGTTCGTAGCCTATCCATTGCCCACTCCCAGCGAGTAAAGTGCAGGTGGGCATTGACCTTCGCTTTGAACATCTGCAATTCTTTCCTTGTTCACAGCTTCAGCAGAACATACTGCGGGAGCTGGTTCCAGACCTCCACAAAATGCTGAGGGAAGGACGAAAGTACATCATTCCGTTCATTCCGATCCAAGTGAACAGGCGTCCAGTACGACTGTTGGCGCAACGGAACGCCTGCCGGCTGGTTGCCCTGTGCGACACTCTCATGCGCTGTGTCCGGAGACGTTGCAGGTGCTGCATTTGTGAGAGAGAGTGTTACATGCATGTTAACTACAGTTAATACTACGCCTAAACTGAGATTTAAAACTCATTGGTTGTGATTCGGGTGGAAACCCTCTAGAGGCTACCCTGCGTAAGGGCCTCGAAGTTGGAGAAGATTGTGTCACCATCAACCATTGTGATCAGCCATGCCAATGATGAAGAGGAAGTGGTCAACATTGACCTTAGGAAGCTAGACTCAGCTCCTGTATTACCGGACACTGCGGATGTCCACAACGCTCAGCCGAGCCCTGCCGAGAGTGACAGTGAGAGTGACAATAGTGATAGTGGAGCCTTCGGCCTGAAATTTGACGGCGGAGGCAGTGACTCAGTCCCACTGTGATATTGTTCCTGAGTAGTGGCGTCTGGAAGGAGAGGTGTAATAGATTGACTAAGTAACTGTCGACCCCACCTCATCTCTCTCTCTCTCTCTCTATCTCTCTCTCTATTCCTTTCTTGATATCAAACACATTAACTGTTGATCACTACGTATCAATTATTGTTAAGCTTTGTATTATTAATTCGCGCTGTGTTCGTGACGTTCTTCCTTTTTCCAGTATTATTGTGCGTGCACATGATGACGTAGGTCGCCATTTTGTCCGTGTCATGTTGGCGCGCAGGCCTTTATCCTTTTTCTCTAGCTCTTTCAGTTTTAAATATAGAGGCCGAGTTTTCCGCATCTGTAGGAACGCCACCACCCTTCAAGGATCAAGGCGCAGATGCAGCTCCTAAAGAGTCTGACGCGAACCGTGAATTTTGTTTAAAAAAATATTTAAAAGTATTTTTTTAAAGTTTTATTTCTTCTTGTGCAAAACCAAGTAACTAGTCCAATGTCGAGTGGGCTGTGAGTGTGGCATGTTAGCCAGTGTAGACAGGGTAGTTCACAACAACACCAAACATAATGACATCTTGCATGCGCATGAATGGTTCATTTGCATTACAATACAAGTGTCTCAAAGCAGCACACTATTCCCCAAAAGGTCGTTATTGTCTGTGATAAGTTCGAAGGCATGAGGGATAGGGTAAGAACTTAATATAAAAGAAGCCACAAAAATACGCCCAACCCTCTGCTGCCAACGACAGGCAATTCAAAAGCACAGCGAGGATGCCTGCAATGAACAAAAAACTGGTGCAATATTGGCATACCCGAGCGTTCTCCCCATGTGGGTTGGTAGATTGGTTTTGTTCAGGACAAGAAAGTACGCCACTGGAAATTCAACCAACCAAGTTTGGATGAGACTTCTTCATGCAGATTTACACAAACCACCAGTATTGTACGGGTTACGCACAAAGACATGACTGATTGTGCTGTTCAACTATCTTACCTGCCACTGAAAGTGTAACATTATGCAGGTGTACAAAGTGCCAAAGAATTCCAATCTAGCAGCCGGTTGCTTTACAGAACCATAATTGTGTTCCGTGCGATTTCACGTGAAAACATACACCAAATCTCATCAAGACACTGGACTTATAAGTATTTTCGAGGTGACCCAAGGTACTCAATAGTGTTGTCTAGGCTGTTAAAGATAGTGAAAACTGTTGTTCTCCTTGGAAAATGTTTTCCAATTGTGCATGTATTATTGTGCGTACAACAGATGAACATGAGACCTGATACACATGCACTGGACCTCACTATGTACACCCATATAATCTGACTTTTCTGTTCATACACTAACAAGGATGCACCAGGGATATCCTGACTTACATTATCCTTTAGGTCCAACGAATGTCCAGAATTAAGTAGATGTTCTGCTACGGAAACATGACCACTCCTTGCTGCTAAGTGTAATGGTGTTCTACCATACTAGAAGTAGCATTGTTAATGAATACAAACCGAGTACACACAAACACACATAAACATACACAAATACACACATACACATGACGATTCACAAACACATAAAAATATGCATATGCATGAACACACACACACACACATACACACACACACACACACACACACACACATGCACACATAGACACACACACACACAAAATATACACACACAACCATGCAAGCACAAAAACACACACACAGGAACAAACAAACACAGTTAATGAGTAAAGGTAACATCGGCAATAACATAGGGAGTTCTGGATCATTGTCAATGAAGATTTCTTTGGGAATTGATGAACAATTTCCTTGGAGACAAGAATACAATTTTCACTAGTATACTTTCATGCCTGATCATCAGGTGAAATACAGGCAAAATCTACTTGTAATGAACATGGCATGGCGCATGTTGTGTGTAAGTGTGTGTGCTCGTGCATGTCCAGGAATGTTGAGCCCACACACGCAGGCGTACACACGTGTGTGCACGCATGAGAGCATTGTTGTTGTACATAACTAGTCCATCACATTTACATAATAGTGAAGTTCAGTAGGATATTGACGTTTTGTTTGAGACAATTTGTCTTTGGTTAGCTTCCCCTGTCTATGTATATTACATAAACTTGAGACTCCCAAGTTGGGTGGTCAGTTGTTTTGCGTCGTCGAGTTGTAGTAAGGCCGGTATGTCCAAGAGTCTTACTATTTTCGCCATCATCCAGTAACTTTAGGCATTTTTGTTGCCGTGGCGCATAGCTCGTGCTCTTCTTCGTTGTGCTTTCCTTTGCCTCTTGGAGAATTGTTAGAGCTAGGAGTCAGGTCGCCGAATGTCTCAGTAAACCTTGTCAGTTTTGTGCCAATTTGTCGTGCTCACTGACTGGATAAGATCTGGTTACGTTAGTGGACAGTTTGTCAGAACTCGTAACATTTTGTCCTTCTTCTTTTCACAATAATACATTATAATTCATTGTTTTTGCTCTCATTTGCTCGTGCCGCTATATCACCTTGGTGATGCGGAAGGAGACAACGTACGGGAGAAGGTACGTCACGATATGAAGAGAAGGCACAGAAGTATACTCCCAAAAAATATTTAACTGCTTAATTCTTCTTTCTGCTCATACAAAAACGAGAAAGCATCAGGGATAATCTGACTTACATGATCCTTTGGTTCCAACGAATGTCCAGAATAAAGTAGATAATCTACTACGGAAACATGACCATCTTCTGCTGCAATATGTAATGGTGTCTTACCATCCTGGAAGTAGCAGCAACAACAAAGAAAAACCATGTCCACATATACCCACGAGCATATACATGTTGATGCACACGCACACATGAACCCACGCACATACTCATGCATGAACGCACACACACACACACACAAACACACACACACACACACACACACAAACACTCACACATCCAAAAACACACGCATAAATACATACACACACCTCAGACCCCAGACCTCAGACCTGCCCAACACAGAAGCAATGATAGCGAACAGCTACGTTAGACACAGCAACTAGTGCTGGGATTACACACACACACACACACACATACACACACACACACACACACACACACCTTGACCTTGACCTTGCCCATTGCGTATGCAATGATAGCGAATGTCGTAAAGTTCAAGTGAGAACGCGAGCGCAGAACTTGGCATGTCGTTTCAGGTCTCCTGGTCGACAAAACGGGCGACCACAGACACAGAGAAGAGGATGAGGAGCGGGCTGTGGCGGCGGAGTGCTACTCGCAACTCGTCTCCAGCCGGGACGATCTTGGCAACTCTCAAGCCAGGTGGTCATGCCGAGGTCCGCAAGGTCAGTCGACATCATATCTCGCCACCTCTTCTTCGGGCCGTGACGAGGACGGGGGGCAGGCAGCTCGCCGAACACCAATTGCGCGCACACACACACACGCACATCTACTACAACACACAGCAATTTGCGCTACTGGGGAGTACCGGCCATCAGAGTGAGAGGCTACGGAGAGAAATGCGTAGACATGGCCGAAGCAGAATGTTGGCGGAGCCAAGTTTCTACGAGAGAGGATTCAGGGTCGGCCGGGTAGACACTGCCGGAACAGAATGTTGGCGGAGCCAAGTTTCTACAAAAGTCTGCGTCCGAGGGACGACCCTGAGTAGCTGGAAATGAACGTGGCCAACACCTCATATATTTACTTTATGAAAGTGAATTAGTGATGAGAAAAGGGAGGTGGAATGGTTTTAAAACACTACGAGCAAACAAGAATGATTCAAACACAGAACGGATCGAAATATATAGCCAGGCAAACTCTGGCAAGACACGTCGAGTGCGACGTCAAACGAATGTCGCATGTCGCCCACGTTGCGCGCCACATACAAATGCCATGGTGACGCCGACGTGGTGAGCTGCCAAGTATCTACCTCGCACTCTGGCATTTTCAGCATCACTTGGAGGGCGGTTCATTCCATATCCTGACAGACCACAAGCAGCTGACATTTGCTATTAATCTGTCCTCTTCACGTCATTCACCTCGTGAGTTTCGTCACCTGTTGTGCATTGCCGAGTTTACGACCGACACTCGCTACGTGAACAGCTAGTAGAATACTGCTTTCACTTCTCATGTTGTATTCACGTCTGATGCTCGGAGTCGCGTACACTGCTTTCACGCGATCTTTTGATTTGAATGTTTTTTGAATCTCCGCTTCTGCTTCGAGAGAGGCAGAACTTTCCTTTGTACTGCAAGATGATTTCCAGCATAGTCAGAGTAAAACATTATAATACAGTCTTCTAAAACAACGAGTCCTGTGCGTTCTGGAGGCATGTTCGAGTAAGAACATAATGGTCCGTCAGGGGCGTCACCGGACCCCTTTACAGGGGGTGCACACGAATTTTGCACAGGAAAACACGAAAAGGTTCGCTGTAAGCAGGCCCGTCGCACCGACTTTGGAGGTGGGGCGGCCATGGGGTACGGGAGCCTTCCCCGGGAAAAATTTCAAAAATTAAAGCCAATTGCAAGCATTTCCGAGCATTTGGTGCCATTTCAGTGCAAGAATTTTTGATTCTGCAGCAAGCCAAGAAGACGCTATGATCGGGGACAAGAATTCTTCATTATCCTCCACCGGGATTGCAAGCATTTTCAGGCATTTGGTGCCATTTCAGTGTAACTAGTGTAAGTAGTTTACGAGTCGTACTGCCTACTGCCTTGCTGGTCATGTACATGCACTCGCTACATGCACTCACTACATGCACTCGCTACATGCACTCACGCCGCGTCACGCGATCGCGGCAGCGCAGTACAACTAGTTTTAGTGCATGCAGTTTATTACAGTGCGTATCGGTTATAGCGTGGTCGTGTAAAAGAATATACTGCCTACAAGAATGAACTCTCATGTTTTCATAATCATAACATGGATTTCCTGTGCACATTTATTCTTACAAGCAATTTTATGGTACAGTAGAATATATCGCTCCTAAGAATGGACTTTGTGTAGCAAAACATGCCAGATCAGTACAAAGTATATCGCCTGTAGTAATAACCTCCGTCCAAAGCAGTTCTGATCTGACTCGCGTTTGGTCCTAGTGCTGCAGGTTCAACTATTGTGTTCATGTAACTCATGTTGCATAGCCACATGGTAAGCCTATGTTACTGTGACCAGCCGCATGCACAGTAGCACTACCTTGTATGTACGGTGATCTTCCTGCCTCTGCGCACATGCACATGATATGTCACACTTGATTTATGGTGTGTAAGAAATATCGGAAATAAGAATAGAAAGTCGTTTTTCAAACACCCACGCTATAACCCATACCTACTGTACTATTAAGTATTAGTAGATTTTACCAGCACTACACTTTTCATAACCAGGAGTTCGCAAAAAACAAGGTCAATTTGTTTAGGGGGGTGCACGTGCCCCCCGTGCCCATCACGGGTGACGCCCCTGTCCTTCGAGCCGGATGGCGAACTTAGAGACAGAGCGAGCTGAGAGCGAACAGTGAGTTCGAAAAAGCAGGAGATTAAAAGGCATTCCACCAGCAAGAGATGAGGTAGAAGGCTTCGAATTCCCTTCGTTGGCAGTCAGGAAAATGGCAGATGCCAGGTCTGTAAGAAGCGCAGAATCAAGTAGGTCAGGTACTAGTAGTACGTCTAGAGCAACATCGTCCTCACGACGACAAGCGAAGATTCAGGCCGCTGCGAAGACATTACATCTTGAAAAGGAATTTCTGGCAAAGAAATTCGAACAAGACAAAAGACTGGTGGAGCTGGAGTTGGCCGAGGACCTAGCTAGGCTCTCCGATGAGGAAAGTGTTCCGGACGACAGTAGCCAACATAGCTCACATCGCTCTTCGACTAAAAGTGTGCACTCAAACCGTAGCGGTGCTCTCTCGATCTCCAACTGCAGTTTTGGATAATATATGAACGCTGTGGAAGAGCAGTCAGTGCAGGAAGTGGAGTCTGACAGCCGAAGACGCAGTAACGTTAGTTTGAACAATCACAGAGGAGATTGCGTCCAACCTGCAGTAACTGTCGTACCGCAGTCTGAGCTTACAAGACCTGTCAGGTCACCACCACAACATCCTGTACACCGTGTACAGGCCAAGCTTCCACCTATCATGAATGCTGCAGCCAGGAGCTTCAAGCCAGCAAAGGCTGGTGCAGCCAGTAGAACACACCTTGACTCTAATGCGCCACACCGGTCTGTGAGCGCACAGAATCCAGCAACCCATCCACATGGTCCAGAGGATCCCACTGCATCTGCACGATACGTTCAGAACTGGGTAAACAGTGTGCCACACAGTGCTGGGTATGTTGGTATTCCGCAGTTCCAGATAAAGCCGCTGGATCTGCCCAAATTCAATGGCCAACAGGAGAGCTATCTTCGATGGCGCCAGCGTTTCATGTGTCTCATAGACGACGATCTCATGTCAACAGAGGATTATAAGATGGCACCACTGCGTGAGGCGCTGGATGGTGGGAAGGCTGAAGAACTTGTCAGTGGCATTCTGGACGGCCCTGGGCATACAGTGCCGAGCTGAACGAGCTCGACCAGTGGTTTGGCGGCGACAACCGGGAGCTGGAACGGCAACAGCAGGAATTATTGGCCAGTCCCCGGATCTCTCGGGAAGATGACACAACAGCTTTGCAGCGACTCGCATTGAAGCTGAGAAACGTCCTGCTTAACCTGAAAATGGCCAACGTCGCACCCGGACGCGAACTGTACATAGCAATGTCTTAGAAGTTCCAAAGACGGATGCTGTCCCGATTCCTGGATCGGTATGATGACCATAGCTGTGATGCGGAGGTGTTGTTTACCTGGCTGCTGAAGCAGGTGCACAGAGCACAGCAGCTGGATGCGCGCCTCGCACTGCCCAGAGAAGCCGCCACAGCATCTATCCGCGAGCCGTACGACGTCCACAGCAGCAGAGCACCCAGCTCAGGTCGGCACGCAACCCAACATGCATTCCATGCCTCGAGGGGTAAGCCAGCGGACTCTCCCAATGCCTGTTTCAAGTGTGATGGTAATCATCTCCTGAGCCAGTGCCCTGCCTTCACAGCAATGTCGGTACGAGAACCCTGGGATTTAGTGAAACCCACACCTCTCTGTATTTGCTGCTTGCGACCCAGCCACCATAGCATGTCCTGTAGTGGGTCCACCTGCACAAAGTGCAACGGCAAGCACCATGCACTGCTGCATTTCGACAAGTTCAGCAGCAACAAGCTTCAGCAGAAGCAGTCTAATAGCAGTAACATTCAGGGCAAGGTACCTGTCAAGGAGCAGGTTCTGCATGCGTGCCGCTTTCAACCACGACGAACGTCTCTCCCTGCCATATCATTCATGACAGTTCCGGTCACAGTTTGCAACGGAAGTCAAGAAACCGTATGCAGAGCAATACTTGATCCTGCATCCACCAGCACGTATATCAAAGCCGCAGTGGCTGAAGCTATCGGTTTGACTGGAGATCCGGAACCGCTCCAAGTGACCACACTCGGTGGCAGCCAGATTGAAGCCATGCGCCGACGTACACCGGTGACCATTCAAAGTACAGACTGCAGCTTGACCAATCAGATCAGCGCTTGGGTTCTGCCATGCGTCACAGCTGACACCATGGCAGTCGACTGGTGTCAACACCAAGATGCCTGGACTCATCTGCACGGCATACCATTCCCAACTATGAACACCGGCGACATTGGTCTGCTGATTGGTGTGGATGCTGCGCCACTCCACACAGCACTGGAAGAGCTATGAGGCCCCGATGATGCGCCGATTGCCTGTCGGACCCCGCTCGGTTGGGTTTGCTATGGCCCTACAGGTACAAGCACCAAGAGGTCCCGGTCTATCATCACGAACTGTGCCACTGCCGCTGTACGATCAGAGATGACCTCCTCTGGCACAGAACCGCGTCTGGATGAGCTCGTCCTCAACCTATGGGACACTGAGTCCATCAGTGTTGTGAACGCTGACCAGCGATACCGCACACCAGCAGAACGTGAAACGGAGGAACTGGCCACGGCTACCATGCACCATGATGGGCAGCGGTACGAAATCGGCCTTCCCGGGATCCGCCCAACTGGTCCGAACATCACATCAAACCGCGCTCAAGCTGAACAGCGCTTGAGAGGTCTAGAAAGTCCCTGTCAGCCAAGCCAGCGATCCAGGCAGAATATCACCGCGTTCTTGCAGCACATCTGGAGAAAGGGTACATCCGGACTGTGCCTGAAGCCATCGCCGCAGCAGACTACCAGCACCAGTGGTACCTGTCACACTTCCCAATCGTCCGGGAGGACAAGAGCACCAGAAAGATTCGTGTTGTGTTTGATGCCGCTGCTGTCTGGAAAGGTCGCAGCATCAACGCAGAAATGTGCACATGACCACGCCTACAGAACGACATCGTTCGCATCCTGTTGCGGTTCTCTGCGGAACCAGTAGCTCTCGTTGCCGACATCAGTGAGATGTTTATGCAAGTAGGGCTCAAAGAAGAAGATCAGCGGTTCACTCGGTTTCTGTGGCATGCCAGCCCAGACGATGATATACAAGTGTATGAGTTTAACCGGTTGGTCTTCGGCCTAAGAGCATCACCCTATCTCGCCGGCAAGGCTCTACTGCAAACTGCACAAGATTTCGCGACCGACTCGATGCGCAGCAACGACCTTCTCCAAGTGATCGAGGAGAGCTTCTATGTCGACGATCTTCTGGACTCCTTCCAGTCAGCTTCTGTGGCAATAGATGCCCAACAACAACTGACACAGCTACTACAGTCTGGTGGTTTCAAGCTTCGCAAGTGGCTAAGCAACTCTACCGAGGTGGTTGAGTCCGTGCCAGAAGCCGACAAAACCCCGCAGGCGTCCCTGGGTGTCAACAGTAACCAGCACTGCACTCTACCATCGTCTAAGACCCTGGGCGTCATGTGGTTTGCTGACAAGGACTTATTTTACTTTCAGATACGATGCGTGCACGAGTACTGTTTCAGGAGGCATGTGTCGCTGGATATGGTTGGGACGAGCAGCTGAATGACGACGACACGGCCCGTTGGAAGCGCAGGCTATCAGAGTTACCCGACCTGGCACAGATCCACGCTGACCGATGTTTTAAGTACAGCGATGCGGATCCAACCTGCGTGAAGACAGAAGTTCACACATTCATCGATGCATCGGATGCAGCTACAGCAGCAACCTGCTGCGTCCGTTCTGAATATCCAGACGGACGCGTGAAGGTGACACTGGCATTTGCTAAGTCGCGGCAAACTCCCATCAAGAAGCTAAGTATCCCGAAGCTCGAGCTGAAAGGAGCGGTCCTTGGAGTACAGCTAAGTAAAGAGCTGGAAGCAGCCCTGGAGATACCATTGACGGAGCACCGTTTCTGGACGGCCAGCCTCAATGTGTTGTACTGACTGAGATCCCACAGCCGACGATTCCGCACAGACATCGGTGTAAAAATCTCGGAGATTCAACGTGCCAAATCACCTCTGCAATGGCAACATGTGCCCGGTAAGATCAACCTGGCAGACCTACCCACACGAGGAATGCCAGCCACCTCGGTAGCAACGAGCAGCACATGGTGGACATGACCAGAGTTTCTGTCCAAGCCATCGACTGAGTGGCCGCAACGCGATATCACCGTCCGAAGCAAGCTTCTAGGAGAGACTTAGCGACACCAAGCGCTGACGTTTGTCGCCGAAGCCACTGTATCTAAACTGCGTCCCGAGAACTTTTCATCCTGCAACCGACTAAAGCGTGTCACGGCTTGAATATTCCGGTTCTCCTCAAACTGCCGAGGTGCCAAGAAGGGGAAAAAACCTGAGGGCAGTGATGCAGTCTCTCGTGTAGCTGTGCCGTCGGCAGAGAATATAGTAGTTTGCGAACTGTCGGCAACTGAAATACAGCGAGCAGAACGGCACTGGATCAGCATTGCCCAGCAGGAGTGTTACTTGGCCACTATTTCGACCTTACAGCGGGAGAAAAGTGTTAAGCCCTCGGACACTTTGCTCCGGCTCAATCCAGTCCTAGACACCGCTGAACGGCCATTTGTACTACACGTTGGAGGCAGGCTACAGCAGGCATCAGCAATGCCGGAAAGTACGAGGCAGTCACTGATACTGCAGTATCGGCATCCAGTATCTGACCTCATCATTGCCAATGAGGATCGCAAAACCCACCATGCGTCGACACAAATCATCTGTGGGCCAACCTGACAACTTCGTATTGCCTGATCAAAGGCAAACAAGCGATCAAATCGCATCGCCTACGATGTAATGGCTGCATTCGGCAGTGGAGGAAGCCTGCAGACCAGCTCATGGGCCAACTTCCTGCCGCTCGAGTTGCTATAACCAAGCAGGCCTTCCAGCATGTTGGAGTTGACTTTGCAGGCCCATTCCTAACCCGTCAAGGTCGTGGATACTCTCAATTGAAGCGCTATCTCTGCCTCTTCACATGTCAGGAGACACGAGCATGCCATTTAGAGATGGCCTATAATGTGTTTTTGGCCGATTTTGTAAGCACCGCGGAGCACCACGTCTAGTAGTGTCAGACAACGGCAGAAACTTTGTGGGTGCCGAAAGTGAGCTCCGTGATGCCCTTCAAGCTATTGACCGAGGTCAAGTGGTCACCTGTACAGCGACAAAACAGCACACGTCGTGGACGTTCAACCCACCCCGGGCACCACACCATGGCGGCTTCTTCGAAGCGCTTGTCCGGTCAGCCAAGCGAGCAGTGTTCGCTATGCTGCATTCTGCTAACTTCACTGATGAAGAGGTGCAAACTGCCTTCGTTCAGGCAGAGACCCTGTTGAACAGCCGGCCACTGACCACAGTTGGATCAGATGCTGATGATCTCGTCCCGTTGACACCTCAGCAGTTGCACATTGGCCACATTCAGGTAGAAACGGCCATAGAAGCGGCACAAGCTTCTACGACACCCGCACACCCGCAGAGACGGTGGAAAGCTGTGCAGGTTGCTGTGGATCACATCTGGCTACGTTGGTTGAAGGAATTTGTGCCCACGCTTAATATCCGACAACGTTGGAGAATGTGCAGACGGAACATAATGGTTGCTGACATGGTATTTTACATGGCAAAGGACACTCCCCGTGGAATGTGGCCTCTCGGCAAAGTGGTGGATGTTTTCCCCGGAGCAAACGGTCTCGTGCGTGTGATGGACATCCTCGTCAAAGGCAAAACTTATCGGCGTCCGACCAACTTACTGGTTCCACTTGAGGTAGAGACGGAGGTGCCTGCCAAGTGCAATCTCTCTCTCTCTCTCTCTCTCTCTCTCTCTCTTTTCTCTGTCTCCTATTTACATTAATAATCTCTTTAATCTTAGTTCTGCTCTCATTGATCATTCTCCTTCCACCATGCCATTCGAGCAGGAAGGGGGATATGTGCAGTCTATATCCAGCCCACTGATTATGGTGCATAGCCACTCCGTTTTATGTGTATATCAGCACTGCTTGTAGTACTGTTTTTGCATTATCATACTACTACGCCTTCGTTCCTCGTGTTGTATTCACGTCAGCTGACGTCTGATGCGCGTAGTCGCGTACAATGTACTGCTTTTATTCCTCACGTTGTATTCACGTCTGATGCGCTTTCACTTCTCATGTTGTATAAGCCTTTTGCGCGGAGTCGCGTACACTGCTTTCACTTCCCACGTTGTATTCACGTCTGATGCGCGGAATCGCGTACACTGCTTTCACTTCTCATATTGTATTCTCGTCTGATGCGCGTAGTCGCGTACACTACTTTCACTTCTCATGCTGTATTCACGTCTGAGGCGCGTAGTCGCGTACACTGCTTTCACTTCTCATGTTGTATTCACGTCTGATGCGCGTAGTCGCGTACACTGCTTTCACGCGATCTTTTGATTTGAATGTTTTTTGAATTTCCGCTTCTGCTTCGAGAAAGGCAGAACTTGCCTTTGTACTGCAAGATGATTTCCAGCAGAGTCAGAGTAAAACATTATAATACAGTCTTCTAAAACAACGAGTCGTGTGCTATCCGGAGGCATGTTCGAGTATGAACAGTAGTGCCCATGCCCAAATTCATTCTTGATGTCCTTGTTGCTATTATCATTTCTGATGATGGGTATTTTATGACGGAAACAATAAAATATTTCCCTTATATGATTCTGCGTGAGCCAGTGTTGCTCACAATCTACTTTCACTAATGAAGGCGAGTGACGTGTCCTACAGGTTCCTACATCTAGTAGTTGTTTGCTTTACAAAACCGTATTACGTTCTGTCCTATCACTCCTATTTCATGTGCATTAGGCCACACCAGGTTATTTCTATGTTTCACGTCACCGCTCGTATCTTTTCAAATAGTTCATGTTGTGTTCGCCTGGTGCCACGCAGGAGTCCCTTGTGGGACAAGACAAAGACTGATTATCTACAACGAGCATGCGTATAATAGATGAGAGAGAGAGAGACAATAAGGAGAGGGACAATACGTCGACAAACACTATACACAACATCTCCCTTTCCTGGCAAGAAGGGGGGAGGGGAGAGAGAGAAACGACGTATATATATATATATATATATATATATACTCAATCTGCGGACTATATATTTTTTTGTCCTTTTTCCCGGAAGAAAAAAGTACAATGAAAATACTATATGAGCCCCAGCCAGCAGAAACCTGAACATGTGTAATTTTTTCAAAAATTATTTTTTCCCTCCAAATTGTTTCTACACTATTAATCATTCAAGTTATCAAGTTTGATGACAATCTGATAAGCGAAAGCATGGAAAATAGAGTTTGAAGTCACACAGGTCAAGATTCCGTACAGTTGGCGCAGCATCCATGCCTAGTGATTCCATGCAAGTTGATCCTACAGTTTCTGATTGTGATGTGGAACAGGTACATGTAAGTAAATAGAATGCAAATCAGGCTTGCCCTCTTGGTGCTGCAGGCATGAGTTGTTCAGAAGTGTGACGATATTCCGTATACATCACTACCTTCTTTACAACACCAGAGTGCAAAACGATGATTGGTGGCTGGCCTTCCAAATTGTGTTCAGGGACCTCTGTGCTGGTAGTTTGAGCGTTGTGACAAAGCTTGCCATACTGATAGATGTGCTCACCAATACCACAGACATCCACTCTCTTGCACACTTTCACTCAGACCATGATTTCAGCATAATTGTATTTCAATGATATGAGCGAATACTCGCGTTTTGTAGCACGTGAAGATGTTGCCCGAAAGCGTTCAGCCGGTTTGAGTTTTTAGGTATCCCCTTTCTCAGCACAGGCAGCAGCCAGCTTGGCGTCATCTGGCAAGGTAGAGTACTGATAATACTACGCTCTGTTTTGCGCCGTGAGAAGCCCTCCATCAGTGTCTGCAGCATCATTGTTGTCGATGTAGAAATACGGATCGCTCAGCGGGACGACATTCTGCTTCTCCTCGCAGTCGCTATTACTCCAGCACTGACTATCGTCGCCACCAGTATCCAGTGTCGATTTTATGAGGGCTCCTCGTTGCTATGCATATGAGACTCGCCACTGCTGGACAAGCTCAGCAAGATCGCCACCAAACAAATAATTCCGATCGCGAACTAACTTTCAGCGCCGCTCCGTACAGGGAGTCTCGCGCTGACAACTCTGGACCTAAGTCTTTGTCGCGACACCTGTCGCCATCGCTGTGTCTAAACTCAACCTCCGTGTGACGAGCTCTCACCTAGCGCTAAAATCAATTGACCAGAGACATTTGAAGACACTTGAAACTCCTTTGACAACAAAGACACCCACTCGATCGAAAAAGAATCTTCAAAAGCCAGCTCACTGCGCGTCCCCAACTTTGACGTCACATTTTGATGATTGATATCAAGTACACAAGTGCTGGTTTTCGCTGGCCGGGGCTCATATATTTAAATAGTGCAAATCAACAAGATTGAGAGACGAGCTAGGGCCTGCACAACATACGGTAAGTAGCAGGGCATGCCTAGCATTTGCACAGCTACACTAGAGAGTATTCTTTTGTTTGAAACAATTAATGAAGAATTTCGAGGCAGAAAATGAAGAGATCGAGAGTGAATAAAGAAGCACGCGCGTCCATGATTCTCACGTTTGGCAAGGCCATCGCAGAGAGGTACAACGTCTAGTTGGACTACAGCAACAGCAAGAACAAGATGTTACTGCATGAGAATGTCTGCACGTCTGGTGTTCAGTGATGTACGCTTGAGAATGTACATATACCGCAAGTGAACAGGTTAAAACAAAACAAAGGAAACACAAAGAGAGAATGAGCTACAGCTAACCATGCGCCTGACAGTTCCTTCCTTCATGAGTCAGAGTCGATCCAGAGCGCTCAAGGCCGAGGCACGTACGTACCGTGACACCTCTATCTCTGCCAGACGGATCGGTTGAGCACGGTATGGGGACATGGCGATCAGTGCTCAACAGCAGGCTTATTGCTGCCGAGAGATAGAGCATGCAGGACGACGAACTGGCTGGACAGGGACGATGGTCAGGAGAGACAAGGAGCAGTGGCGTGACAGCTGATGAAGAATAGAGCTCACGAGGAGAACAAAACAAGTAGAGCGTAGTGCATGCCGGGCTTGACTGGACTGACATTCAGTGTTAACACAATTTTCAGACAGACAACGACGACACATGACGATGACGACGATGACGAGACTGTCCCGGAGCTGGGGATGCTTGAACTGCTGGCTAGAGGCGGAGGGTTCTTTCCTAATTCTACAGGTGTAGGAACCACAGCTGCCACTATGTTGTGTTTGCTTGGTGCCACGCAGGAGTCCCTTGTGGGTCAAGACAAAGACGGATGTATTTACAATGAGCATGCGTATAATAGATGAGAGAGAGGCAATACGGAGAGGGACAATACAGCGACAAACACTATACACAACAGTTGACAAGAAAAGAAGAAACACCCAGATTAGTTAATCGATGGCTGTTCTGGTGAACATTCTCTAGCCAGTATCAAATCAAAGGTTATCAGCTTCTCGATAATCTTGCCCGGCGATGGTACTACAGTAGAGAGTGTGACTGTGCGAGCGATGAAAATTCTATTTTTCCAAGCCGAACGGTAGGGCCTGTTCAACAAGCGAGCAGAGATTCTAGGGTGTCAAGGACTCCGAGATTTTCCAGGACCGTGATGGAGAGGAATTCTACCAGACTCATGTCAAAGTACAGAATGAGCCATCCATGAAGCCTGTTGCCCCATCGCTCCAGCCCAGTCTGCCAACTGTGCTGTGGAGACTTTTTGTCGTTTTGGATAAGAGATACTGTGAAACTGGAAAGTCCAACTACCAAAACGTTTTTAACGTTTTTGTAATTTTGGCATGATAACGTGCAGAAAAGTTAACGATGGCTACCTGGCTACCCATCTGTATGAGAATCTGTACACAGACATCTAGCGATTACGTTTTTTGGAAATAACGAAAAATAATTGGTCATTAAAACATTAGACTTTGTGACTCGTTAGACTTTCCGGTTTTACAGTAGTTCAGTAGTGCAGCTATTCTGTGTGCAACATGGCTCAGTACACATAGAATGGAGTTTTGTTTTTCTTCCATTTCTGTTTTTCCCCTCCCATATGCGTGCCTTTTCCAGGAATATTCCGATGCGAAACATATACTTCCTCCGCGTCATCAAAATTGTCGCAGTTTGACTAGTGACTTGTCACTTGTTACTGACAACTCCATAAGCTAAACCATACAAAAATTAGAACACATGATGATAGTCTGAAGTCTAGAGTAACGTTCCAGGGCAGTTAGGCTGAAAGGTTCACATGGGATGAAGGCATCGTCGTCGCTGACGTAAATTGTGGGTCGCGTCTCATGTCAATTGCTTTGACTTTCTCCACAGAACAACAGCTGCTATGCTTGTCGTCTGCTGGCTCTGGATGATTTCTACTTCACCACCAACGCAGTAAGAATACACGAGGTCGTTTGCGAGGTCGTTTGAGTCCCATCGGCAGAATCACCTCGAGCTTGTAATGTAATGAGCTTTTTTTTAGCCGTGGGATGCCCGTTCAATTTAGCTGTGTGGTCACTGTTCATGCAGGTAAGTGTACTATCACGTCGAACGTGCACCCTTTTTCTGCATCACTGATAGATTTACTCAGTATCTGTACCTGCATCACTAGCTCTACACTACTGTGTACACGCTGAGTCTACACGACCCTTGCAGGTACAGTACTGACTGTCTCAGCATTCCTTGCATGCATTAGTTTGCTGACCCCCTCGATGTTTCTCCAAGCGCTGCTGCTTGTTCCAAGAAGTCATTCTCACCCCAGCTCAAGTAAAACAATGATCAGTTTTGAGTGAATCGCTATACTAATACGCACGATAAATATGCAGATTGCAATGCCTGACTGATCTCAGCGAGTCGAAAGTACTATCGCAGGAACATCAGCGAAGACATGGCGTCTAGTTCAACATTTTCAGTTTCCAGCGACAGAAAATGGAACTTTGCTGTCACCCTATACTGATGACTATCGTCTATGTCCGATTCATTAACTGTGGTACAATTGCTGGTGATTATATACCCCGTTTTATTTCAAAAGTCAAACTGCGACAATTTCGATGACACTTAGGAGGTAATTAACTTGATGTGACCTTTTTCTCATTTTTTCTAAAACAAAGCCAAGTTCGCGTACATTTTCGCAATTAACGCATCCAGTTCAGAAGACATTTCACATGAGGTATCAAGCGTTTTTCTTCCCTTTCTCTCCAGGATTATACAGGGAATGGCTGAAATGAAAATACTACAACATATAGCGAAAATGTCCTGAGATACAACTCTCTTGACAGGGTTGAGTTCTCAGAAGGAGATATAATAATTATAACAACAACAGCGTAGTGAAGAAAGTATGTAGCATTATTCACACATTGACGAGGAATAGCATCAAACAATTGTACAGACAACACATTTTCTTTCTGGAAACAAAGCTCAGGATAAAACTTAAGTTTGTACAACGCTACTAACACAGCCAAATGCAATGGACCTCTACCACGTGACAGTACTGAGAAAACGTCATTACAGTACAACTCCCGACAATTAGCATGCGTGAACAGATGGCTTTTGAATGATGAAGTACCACTCTGGGCTCCTTTCTTTGTTGTTCCCTACTGTGTCCATCTCTCCTCTACGTGACATCACAGTACCCATCTCATGGCCTGGTGACGCTCATTGTCCCTTCAGCTGCATCTCCTCCCGTATTATTCTTCATTGAGCTTCTCACTCTTGCTTCTCTAGTCTCAAAGTTCTGGTTTCATTACGCGGTCTTCCACATTGTCTAAAATCCACTGTTGTTATCACTTCTATTGTCATTGCAAGTCGGTCCTCTCCAGTACGTCTTCACACTTGGCTTAATGTTGGAACGTTCTCCATTTGTTAGTGTTTGTCCTCGTTTAACATGTATA